TTTACACCTAAGTACCTGATACTAAAATGCATTCCTCAGCCAGAGAGTACTTTTTACTTCTTGGCTATAAATGCATAATTCTGTGTCTTTGGTCTATCTTGGAAAATGAAAGTGCATTAGTCTTTTGCGCTGAACTTTGCAGGTTTTTATTGCATCCCCCCCCCCCAAAAAAACTGCCAGCCTAGAAATCTAGACAGACCATAGCAGAAGCAACATCAGGCATTCTCTTCAGGTCAGTCTAGCCTTGCTCCTTTGGAGCCTCAGTAGACCCGAACAGCCTTGTATTTTGCCAATCACAGCCATCTATTGGTGTGGTGGCCAGGATAGTAATGCAGCTGAGCGAAAAAACAAAGATGGCTGTCGTGGCGTGTTTGAAATGGCTTTGGCATCGACTTTGGACTATTTAGACTTGGGCAGAATCAGGGGGGAGCCACGGCATTACAGTGAAGGTGATAAGACCATTCCCCTCACCCCCAGACTTTTAATGGAGGTGATCGGACAGACAGGTTTAAACGCAGATAACGCAGTTGATGCTGAAATATCCTACATCCCTGATTAAATATTTTAGTGAACAAATGTCTTCGGTGAAGGCAACAACAAACGTTCTATCATTCAGTGTCAATAGATTAAATCAAACATGGATGGGTGACTCTCGACACAAAGTGAGCATGGCTCCTCTGAAGCTGGGGGTCGATGACTTCTGTTATTGACATTGACACTTCAGTAGCTACATGACATCTTAGGTGTGTTCTTGCTGTGTCTTTGTAAATCCATGCTTTCGTTCTTTTTTAAACACAGAAACAGTTTTGGAAGCAATCGAGATAAGGAGACGTGGATGTGGGACCATGAACAGGGACGACGGAGTTTACACGCTGGACCACGCATGGGACTGCATCGTCGGAGAGGGGAGAGCGGGCAGTAGAGGGCGACAACGTCCTCTGCTGCCCGCAGATAAACGGAGAAGGAAGTGACGCGCCACCATCAGCGTCAGCCTGAAGAAGCCGGCAGCTGTCGGCGAAACCGTAGCTACAAACAGGTAAACAAAACTGTTTCTGTGTTTAAAAAAGAACGAAAGCATGGAGCTACATGACCCCATGCTTCATGTCTTCTGAGTCCACAGTCTCTGTGAGACTCATTTGTGTCACCGACAGAGCCCAAAGGAATTACCTGCATCACACACACACACACACACACACACACACACACACACACACACACACACACACACACACACACACACACACACACACACACACACACACACACACACACACACACACACACACTCTTCTGCACGTTCGGACTTGCATGGAGCCTAGAGAAGACATGTGTGGCAAAGTACAGTAGAAACACTGAACCACACAATGCCTTGTCTTGTGTTTTCCTGTTTCCATTTTTAAGAAGCAACGTACGTGTGAAGAGGAACAAGCTTTCATTCTTCTTTTGTGTCCTTGAACAAGCCTCGCAGTGACTCATGAAAACCTCCCGATGAGATCAAAAATCCACAAGAGTTGTTTCTCTTTTACCTGCTTTAAAAGCTGTAAAATACAGATTTTAATTGATGTTGGCATTCGTGCCAACTCTCCTTAGTTTTTAGGAGGCCTTTTAAAGGGCGCTGTTGCAGTTGGTGGAAATACAGTAAAGTTTGCAGCGGTGACCCAAATCGGTGAGAAAGTGGTTTTATTTTCGCAGTTGGAACCAAATGTATGAATGCAGCGGCGGGTGGGAACTCCGTGCCTCACGCTGCATCTGTGTCCTGACGTGGCCCCAGCCGTCTAACCGCATTTTGTCTTCTGGAACTCAGGGGGATATAAGGATCTCGTACGCCTTTGGCATGGGTTCACGCCCACATTCCTCGGCTATGTGCTCACAAGCATTCTCCCCGTCTCCCTCCCACTTTGCTCTGACACCAAAAACTTGGCCCACGTTGCGTAGCTCCATAAAAAACTGCAAACACTGAGGCATTTAGTTCACCTCTTTTGAACCGATTCTTTTCAGCTTGCTGCAGCTTTAAGTGACACCTATGGAGGCAGATTGAAAAGGTTCATGGAGGTTGTTCACCTAGATGAAGCAAAGCAGCAGATAACTACAAAAAATGATAGGTACTTGCTTTTTTACTTCTCAAACAGAGCTGTTTATTGGACTAGTCCCTAGCGGTTTGTCTACTTAAAGGTTATCTTTTACTGACAAGTCAAAGTCAAAGGCAGAGGGGCCACGGAGGTTGAGCAGTTTGCTGTCTGGGGTGACTGGGTTCAGGGGTAGGGGGTGCAGGGTGCGGAATGTGGCAGAAGGAAAAAGCCAGAAGGAATCAGTATTGTGCAGAAATGAGACGTCAGAACTGGAAGCAATGCACAATTGTAGGGTCCTCAGTGGGTTTTTTTCGTTCTTTTCAGTGACAATGTGCACATGTAACTTTTTTAGGGTGTTTTGGGCAGTTTGAAGTGTGTTTCTGTTTAAAGTTAAAACTATTATTGTAGTTTATGTAGATAGCTTAATGAACAGCCAATGTGCAGAGAAATAGCTAATGTCTTGTCCTGAGTGCAACCAATTGTGAAATGGTGAACTATTACTTCGATCCCCAAAATGTGACATCACCATCAATGTAAAACCGAGATGAATCCCTTTAGTGTTTAGGAGACTGGTTTGTTTGATGACGCTAGTCTTCTTTTGAGTTGGGGCTAACCCCCAAATTCCACTACCTCCGCTCTGCTCCGGTCCGGTCCGCCCCCGCCTTCCGCAGCCGCTCGCTTCCGAACTCAATTTTTACTGGTACCCGCTCTACAACGGCTCCGCTCCGGTGCGGAGACCTGAGGTGGGCAAACAGGCATGCGTGGGATTTTCGAGATCTTGCGATACAGTCCGAGCAATAAACGCGGAAGTTAGATCCAAACACCCCTTGTGTGGGAGAAGCATCGAAATGAACTGTTTAATCTGCCATCATTTGTGTTGAGAGATCAGCAGTGTTTGGATCAACAAAGTGTGACTACTTTGATAGTGGAAACTGTATTTATGGCTTACTTTTGCGCATTTAAACTTCAGCCGCCACTGATAGTTGTTAAAAGTTGTTAAACCTGTTCATATGAAACAAAAAACACCTTTTGTTTATCGATTTATTGTGAAAAACGGAAGTTGTGCTCGCTCCTTTTCCTGTTGGGCGTTTGTGATTTCTGTCCATTTACTGCGGAGGTGCTCCGGCATCCGGCAAAAATAGGATTGGTTCTATTTTTGCCGGACGCCGGAACAGAGGGCGGCGCACGGCGCCGCACTGCCGGAGCACGGCCACAGTAGTGGAATTGCTCTGATTGACTAGAATGGGACCGATTTTGCTCCGGCGTTCGTGTTGGAGCGGAGCGCAGCGGAGCGGAGGTAGTGGAATTTGGGGGTAATCTGACAAATTTTTAGCTCAGTCTTACAATATTCCACATAGAATATGTTATTCATGCTTTTACAACTTCTAGACTTGATTATGTGAATTCTGTTCTGTTTGGTGTAAACATGTCTTTGCTAGACTGTCTTCAGAAAGTCCAAAATGCGGCAGCACAATTTCTGACTTGGATAGGCGCACTCATATCACTCCTATACTCGCTAATCTACACCGACTTCCTGTTAAATTTTTTTAGTGGGTTTAAATTAAGATCATGAACTGGCTGCCTCCTATCTCTCAGAGTTACTCATCCATCACATAACCTACCGCACACTGACGTCTGCTGACCTTCTTCTCCGGACCCCTAGAGCAATAAAAATCTTGTGGGGAAAGTGCTTTTGTGTTAGCTGCTCTTCAACTTTGTTGTGGTGAAACACTTCCCTTCTATTGCTTGTATTAAATCAATGTAGCTTTTGGTTTTTAATGTTGAAAGTTTAGTGTTTTTTAATGCGACATTTTTTGTGTTTTTGTACTGCCATCGTCTTTTTTCCTGCTTGTACTTTTATGAATTTGTACTTCTCTGTTTTAATAATATTTGTACACAACTTTGGTCAGCAGCCATGCTGAGTGGTAACGTTTATAAAATTGACGAGTTCATCAACACGATACGAAAAGCAGAATGACACTTTTGGCCCTTTTCCACCTCTGCATGGCTCTACACAGTTTGGGTGGTTTTCAAATACAATTGACAAATGACACTAGTGAGCGGGCTCATCGTAGCGGAATGCCCCAGAGTTTGAGCAGTAGTGGGGGAGATCTGTACAAAACACAAAAATACATCACAACACAAAAATGGTAGTGATGTAAAGATTCAGCTCAGTCTGTGGCTTTTTGTTAGACCCCAAAAAGAAGAGACCCGGAAAAGGCTGAGGGCAGCGAGGCAGAACACTTTGGAGCAACCCGTGACTCCGCCTCCTGGCCAGTTAGTGACTGACGGTCTCAGACGTTGCATTTTCATCCTGGCTCTTTACGCTTGGAACCACATCTGAGTACTGAAAAAAAAGGCGACAATGAGACCCGTTTCTTATTGGAAGGCTTAATTTACTGGTGGAAAATGTCTATTTTTCCTTGGACAAGAGTTCATTAGTTCTACTGTTTCTCCATACTGAGGCTATTCAGGAAGCTTTATGTAATGGTTGGTATTTCTCTGCAATTTTACATAGAAACTTAAAAATTGTAAAAAAAAAAAAAATCTCTATAACTGACAAACACAGGAGTAAACTTGTTCCAGTTTCATGCAAACTTCATTTTTGGACAACAACTTTTAAGCATTTAAGTCAAAGTTTTACAATAAAATGTTTAAATACTCCAATTGTGGGTATTAAACTAGCTACATAAGGCAAAAAAATAAATAAATGCTACTTGTCTGAGTCTTTATATCCAATATTTTGTTAATTTATCAAAATAATGAAGATTAAAAAGAGCTTCCTGACCTTAACTAAAGGTCTCAATGAAGGTCAGTGATAATCAGTCTGCACCAAACCAAAACAAGACATTTGTTTGCACATTTGTGTATGTATGTCGATGGTTTGCACACAATCTCGTTCCTACTGAATAAAACAAATCGGACATCTAATTTCACACAGAAGTACATTTATTTAGATTCTTAAAAGATTAATATTGAACAAGTTACATATTTTCAATGATTGCAAATCAAAACAATTCCAATGTTATTCTTTCACGTATAAAGTAAATGTAACAGATTTTTTATTCCAAAATATATAACGGGATCTCTTCCTATTGTCATGAGGAGCCCTTTGTTAAAAATACGTAAAAGTGCAACATCTAAATTGGTCCAAAATCTGATATCTCGAGAAGTACTTCTCTGAAGAATAAATATAGTTTCATTTAAAAAATGCTATATATCTTTACAGTTTTGTCTTTTATAATTTTTTTAAGTAATTAGCATTTTTGGTGCAATTTTCTATAAACCTTATTGGTATACAATTAAAAACAACATTGCCAGTTAGCAAAAGCGTAGCGTATCAATCAATGCATCAAATATTTTCTAAATACACTTCATTTTTTTTACTACCCCCTCCATAGAACTATCTGAAACATAGAGTTCTGATGACACTGACACCATAACATCTCACAGCGTTATGTTACATTAAAATATCTCTGTTAAAAATTCATGGGGAAAAAAATACAGGAAATATTACAACAGCAACGCAGAATTAAGGAATACGATGCATAGATTCAATAATATGAAAACACAGAGATATAATTTACTTAGTACAGCTCTTTAGAGTAAACCTACATAGATTCATTACAGTTAATCCTGACACGAGTGACCGGCACAAATATATATGTATATTCATAGATATAATTCTGAACACATCACTTGATATAAATGCTAAACATGTCGCTTTGGCTTCAAAGGCAGATTTGGCTATAGTACATCCTACAGCATGTATGGGTAAGAAAAGGCAACACATGGCAAGATCAGCCAAAAAGCAGCTTTGCAACGGCTCTTCTGCCTTTTGAAACGACTAAATATTTTATTTATCCCAGCATTCCACCGGATGCGTAAGCTGCGTGAAACGTAATAGACGCATTTTCACTTCAACCTCAGCGACACAACCTTTCCCATCGGGAGTGTTTTAGACGGCAAATGTCAGCAAAAGCCTTCCAAGCAGCGAATTCCACAAGGTCACGAAAGTACCGGAGAAGCGTGATTTCGGCAATAACAAAAAATAAAATTAAAAAGGTAACAGCACGTCTCCCAAATGGTCCGTGGTTCATTTTCTGCTCTTTGTACCACAGAGGGATCACAGTTAAGGACGTATTAAATCTACATTCGGGAGTTTCCCTCTTTCAGGATTTATGTCAAATATTTAGAAAATTTGTGAAAGTGCTAGTCTTATCATGTGCTCTTATGTAATGTAGGCAATAGTTTTTTTGCTAAGCCTGTCCCCCATGCCGTAGAGCCTCATGCAATTTACCGCTTACGTACAGTTGTCAATCACAGAGCATGTGTGAGCATTTGAACAGACCTGGGCTAAAAGAGTAGGGGAGTTTTTCGTACGGACGAGCCTGATTTATACTTCTCCGTCAACTCTGCAAGGGAGAGACACGCACCCAATTACAGGCATTTTGCTCTCAAATTTCGGCTTTTCTGTGGTATCCTGCCACCATTACACTCATGTATCCAGTCCACAATAGTGTATATTCTAATGTGTTTATATATTTCAGAGACTTTATAAAACGGACAAATTTGTCCTTCATTCTCCGTCACCTCTTCATACTCTAAACCCAGTTTCCCATCATTTCAGTCCACGAATAAAACGTTAGCTCCGTATTTTTGTACTCCTTTAGTCACGGGTCAATAAACGTTCATGTTTTTGGATTTTTCTGCGATGTGCTCTTCAATCAGTTCAGTGTATGCCGCTAAATATTTTTAAAATTTTTGACAAGGCAATGGCATTGCTGTTGACAAATTTTAAGGCAGCGGCGTCCTGACCAATCACAAGCTTGCGGTCTTCGTCACATTCAACAGATAGTTAAAAATGTGGGCATGTCTCCATTACTCTCTGTGAGCCAGTCGGTCAGCCCTCGCCCCATCGCATAATGAGTGTCTCCATACCGACGCAGATGGAGAAGTATTAATCAGCCTTAGGCAGGGGTGGACTGGCCTATCTGGCATTCTGGCACTGTCCCGGTGGGCCGCTAAGCCAAGTGGGCTGCTTGCCCAGCTTGGGCCGGCACTACTCCACAGTTGGTGATCTGCAGAACATTAGCTACATGGTAACCCAAAGCTAAGAGTTTTTCCAGCCGTTTTTAGCAAGAAAAACGCGGTACAGCGATGAAGCAGGAGTTGTTTTACCACGTTAGCATGTAGCTAATGTCCCGTTGATCTCCGCCCGTGGAGAATGAGCTGATCTGGAAGGCCAGGGCTCCCGGTCGCAGCGGTCTGGCCCTGCTTGTAATTTAACAGTCCCAGTCCATATTAGATATCACATTCGGCCTAGAGACGAGTCCGCGGGCGGCAACACCCCCCACCCCCACCGCTCTCCCAATGGGGAGGGCCGACGATTTGTAAAAATGCCAGGGCTGAATTTTGGTCTCAGTCCACCCCTGGCCTTAGGTCTTTAAAATATAAATGTGTGAATAAACAACATAACATGAGAATAATATTTGCAAAACGTGTTTTAGCTCTACTTGTCGGCTAGAGGTGACGTTCATGAACGAGAGGCATTGCGTTCTATCGTAAATATGGAAGTGGAAACCACGGCTTAAGGTGCGATAAATTTGTCAGCCAGTAGATGGTGCTGCTGCCAGATTACAAATATACTGGAGAGTAGCTTTAAATCAACTGGAAATCTGCACTTGTCTTTTAATTTTAAAATCTTCTGGACACATTACACTGCTTTCCTATTTGACTTCCTTGATCCATTATTGAAGTGTAGCGCGAGAAAAATAGACCTGAAGCATAAAATTTGTGGTGCAACATGACGCTATGTTTCTGAGACAGTGCCCGCCCCGGTAGAAACAAACCCATTGACCGTAACGGTGGCTATTGGCTGCGTACTACGCTTTGCAAAGTTGACACAATGATTACACATCAGGTGGAAAGTTGCAGTAAATTAAGTTTCTTCAAATCTATTTCTGAGGAGGCAGAATATTTGGATCTAGAGTATGCACGTTTTTATCTGAATCATGGAAAAAATAACTATTCTTAATTTTTTCCTTTTTAACAATCAAAGAATCAAATAAAAACCTGCAAATGTGAGTCTTCCCTATAAATCACACATTAAACAATCTTTAACTTTATTTCTAAGCCACCGAATGAGTTGACTTCATCGATTTCGAAACGTGTTTTCACTTTTTTTTGACTCCACACAATAAAAGATATTTAGAGGCTACAAGTACAGCATGAGGGGAAAATACACATGTACATGCTAAGACAACATTTTTAGATTAATGGTAATTTGCTAAGAAAAACGTGATAGTAAAATTGTTTACAAGATGCGTGTGTAAGTGTGTGTTAGCATCATATCAAAAGTTTGAAAAGACGGGGACAGCCAGAGGTAGGAGGGGCAGAGTGAAAGCAGTGAGGCTGTTCAGTCAGACAGCATCAGAGGGCTCCTTTGGATTCAAAAGGAATCATTATCTAAACTAATCTATACCAGGCACAAAAACTTTTTAAAAGTGAAATCCAGAAAGGGTCAGTTACAACAACAGCACTGACAAGCTCTTTAATCTGAAACCCTGTAACGATCACAGCGCCAAAAATAACATTTACACATCTTTTCTTTACTTCTATTGTCAATTTAAAGCAGGAACATTGAAATAAAGTTCTCTTCTACAAGAATGCTGGATTTGAGGATCTTCTGGACCTGATAGAGATCTACAATATTAATCCCACAAGCCTACAGTCAGAATCCACTCTGTTAGGCACAATAAACAGGCCTCTGTGGTATTAAGGTTCAGAGTGACAAATAATTCAGAATTATTCCAACGTCTGACCGCAGGTTACGCACCAGCAGAAATCTGTATCAGCCACAAATAACTTAGGTCTCAAATATATCCTAAATCTGGCAAACATTTACTACAGTGTTTTAATATACATTTATATTGTTATGTACACAAAAATCAGAGAGCGAGCTGTGATTCTGCAGCCTGACAGACCAGTTTGATGCGTTTTAGATCCAGTTTTCCATGTGAGCAATTTTCTGCTGATTAGAATTTTTGTTGTCTTCTTGTAAACACTATTTACAAAAGTTACAAAATACAACAAAAAAAAACAATTTTACAAACTGTATGATTACATTATGTACACTCAGGCATTACACGTGTGTTACTGTAATATCATGTAAAGATCCTTTAAGAAATCTCGCTTTTTTCTCAAATTTCAGTCCAAAAAACCTCATGAGCCGGATTGCCTTCATTATTAGTCCATAGCAGAAACTCAAAAACATTTGATTGATGGCAGCAAACAGTCTGACCCTAACCATAACCCTAACAATATGCTGCTGATGATGAGATCTATTTGGCAGTTTCACTACAGTCTAATATCTGTAAGCTTTGTGTGAAAACCAGAAATGTTTCTGTTTGGCTCTTTTGTTAAGGCGAACATTTTTGGCACTTGAAAAGTGATCTTGATTCCATCGTTTTTGGGGGGAGGACGCTCTAAAATGGGATCAGTCCACAGCTGGCCATGACCCAATCTGCAGAAGGGAACGGGAATGTTGCGTCTGCAATTGTTGAGATGAGGTCATTTAATTTGAAATGGTTTCAATTCTAGTTTTCTACCCAGAAACCCAGCTGTGTGTGGTGGTCTTCACCCCATGCGGGAAGCTTTGCTGGGTCACAACCGGCTCGAAGTTGAAGTCCAGCGAGTCTCCGTCCATGAGAGTTTCATGGAGGACAGTCTCCATGTCGAATTCAAACTTCTCGATGGACATGTCATCCAGGTCACTGGGAAGTTTCTCCGCGTGCGATGGGACCAGCGTGCCCGCTCGACCGTATCCGTTGGTGTTGAGGGGACAGAAGCTGCCCGGCATGCCCCCCACGCTGAGGTGGCCAGGGAGGCCGTAAGGCATCTGCATGGGGCTCTTGGCTGTAGGCAAACGCACACAGCCCCCGTTGTAGTTTAGAGACATGAGCAAGCGACTGTTCATAGCTGGTGATGCGGCCGGGGCTTGGTTGTGCACATTGAGCGGGTGGGGGTGAGAAAGACCACGCGGGTGGCCGTTCCCTCTTGCCATGAGCTTGGCTGCGTGCTGGCTGCTGTTGTACGGTGGCAGCATGGGCTGAGGCACTACCGTCTCCACTGATGGCATGAGCTCTCCATGTTGGTCGTTGTCCGACGTCAGTAGCTCCTTCAGGAGCCCTGCGGGGCAGTTGTACTGACCCATACCGGCCCCAAAGTTGGGCTTGCTCTCTGACAGGCTCTGCAGGGTCATAGGGGACAAGGTGTTCATTCCAGCTTGGCCATACACGCACTTGTGGTAGTCCTGCTGCGGCTGAGAGCCCATGCTGGGGGAGCTGTAGGGCGGGTACCCAGGGCTAGGCTGCATCAAAGGTGAGGGGGAGGACTGGGAGGAGCCAGGGGTTGTCGCCCCTCCTCCTACCTGAGAGTTGCTTGGTGAGAGCAAATTCAGGTTGTCCAGAAGGTTTTCCATGACGTTCTCAGAGCTGTGTCCCAGAGAGCCCGTCATTTCTGTTAGACTGGGCAGCGTGGCTGTCATCTTCGCCCCTGGAGCTCCTGGGTATCCCATGTGCACTTCTGCTTCTCCCAGGTCATCCTCAGGCACGAAGGGTGAAAGGCGTCCACTCAAGGTGCTGGCGTTGGAGCTGGTTCGAGGCCTGAAGCTGCTCCAGGCATCATAATCATCGTTGCTGTGGGAGTTGGGGCTGCCTGGCCACTTGGAGTAGGAGCCTGGGCTGTCGCCACCTCCGTCAGGGCCACCCTGCAGGGATAGCTGGGTGGGTGGGTGGGGGTGAGGGGTGGGGTGGGGGGGTGGGGGCAGTGAAACTCTCATTAAACAACAATAAAACTTAAGCTACTCAAATCCATCATTACAGTCTTAAAGTTTTCGGATCATATTTAAGTTTGGCTGCATTTTCAAGTGTCTTCCAACATATTTCATTTAGAGAAGCGAACCTCATAGCTATAGTTCAATTATTAAGCATGATCAAGTAATCAAAATTCATGCCAACTAAACACTTGTTTTACCAGAGGATCACTCTGCAGAAGTAAGGGTACCTTTTTCTTTGCCGCTCTCCCTCTGCTCTTGGTGAACTTGCTGTTGTTGTCCATGGAGGCAGCTCTGCGTCGCGGGGACTTCCCGCTCTTCCCGCCCTCCGGGTTCAGCATCCACCACGAGCTCTTCCCCGTCCCCTCGTTCTGAACGCGGACGAAGCGGCTGTGCAGGGACAGGTTGTGTCTAATGGAGTTCTGGAAGGGAGGGAGAAGGATAAAAAAGAAGGTGAGGAGGACATAAAAACAGAGAGATGTGCCCTTTTCCCAAAACACATCAGATGCTTTATCACACATGTGCAAATCCATCCGTACAGGTGGCCGCCTGCAAAAACACTCACGCCTTGACAATTGGACAATGAGAAGAAAGGGGAGGTTTGTTAAGGTCACTCAGCAACCTCATGCTGTTTGCTTTAGAAAAAAAAAATACCACGTGCACACACTCTTGGTAGATGTCAGCGAGTTTACTCACATCCTGAGCAAATATTCTGTACATGCGGGCTTTCCCTGACAAAAACAGCGAGGCCCATTGTAAAGCACCGCTACACCAACAGTCACATTCCACCTGACCGTGAGTCGTGTTTAAACCGGCACAAAATCAAAGAGAGGAAACAGGCTAATCTTTTTTTCCTTACAGACGCAGTAATGCTAAGCTCTGACGTTGCTCGGTGACAACACCAGTGGAAAAACTAATTTTTGAGCAGGAAGCTAGTGAAGCGTTATAAAAACAGGGCAAACAAAGGAGCGAGAATGTCGGGCAGATGTCTGCTGAGCAAACCGAACGAGGCCAGACACCTCCAGCACTACGCCCGGGGTACAAAGCGCTCAGGGTGTAAGTGATGATCTTCAGCTCGGACGGAGGCGGAAGGGACCGTTTACGGTCGAAGATTGGTTCAGAAACTTCAGCTTCTGCATCAATCTGTGTCCAAATCTCAACATGAAATCACGAGACCCGTCCAGGCATCACTGTGTAAAGCTTGTTTTGGAAGAAACAAGTCCCAGCTCTCTCTCTCTCTCACACACACACAAACACACACACATACTCGCACGCAGAGCTTAGCATGCATAGTGGCCAACGTCATCAAGCCTTTCGCTCGCTGTGAGTCACTGCCTCACATCTGGTTCACAGTCTGCAGCCTCTGCACTTCCTTCACCTCAGATTCTCCTCATTTCAACTTTTTTGTCTCCTTATTCAATTCATTTCAAAAATACTTTATTAATCCCAGAGGGACATTGATTAATATTGATTGTGCCACAATGATGTGCCCTCTGCAACATTTAATACGTGAGCTACACATTTTTTGACGTGAACCCAAAAAAACTGAAGTATTCCAAATCTTAAAAATGTTGTTTGAGACTGAGTTAGGGTTAGAGTCTACTAGATGTGATATAAAACTCTCTTTTGACTCGGTGTTGCTCGAGCACCAAAGTTTAAATACTTCTCGTTGTTTCTAACTGAAGAGCACCTCCTCATCAGATGGATGGAGCTGCGGCTCTTGTCTCATTTCTTCTCCGTCTCCTCCACTCCTTTCCTCCCTCTCAGCCTCCAAGGCACATGAGATCCTGTACAAACACTGCTCTTTTTTACAAATGAATGCAATTACCCCTGAATCAAATGATCCTGCTGCCTGAGCTATGATAGTCTCGGGCGAGTTTGCATGATCTGAAGTACGTGATGGGCCTTCCCTGATTAGCCTAGCAAATGCTGTTCTGCCTCCCCCTTCTGCAGCACATTAGTATCTGTGGCAAAAGAGTAAAGTCTTGTCCAGAGCCGCTCTTTCCCATGACTGCTAAAGAGTTGCTGCTGGTTTTCAGAACGGCTGCAACGCGCGCTCAGACGTCGAGACGTCTCGTGACGGCCCCTCCATCATCTCGATGACAGGAAGGAAAATCTCACAGCTAGAGTCTCGGCTTTGCAGACTTCTATTTTGGCTCGTGTGACAGTTGAGACGCCGGGTGTGATGATCTAGAAGGTTTTAAAAGGCGGTTCGGACGGCCTGATGCAAGAGAGAGAGAGACGGGGGAGGAGAGGTGAGGGGGCGTTAAAGAGCTCTGATGGGAAATACCAGAACTGGCAGAACTCGGTGTGACCTGCGGAGAGTGTGGCTTGGGGGGTGTCTGGTGTGGCCAATGGAAAAGCGTCGCCCCCCTGCTGTGGGAGCACGGGGCGGTGCCAGCTCGTGTTTTTAACGGGATGGCAGAACGACAAACAGCAGCATTGTATGGTTTTGATTTTACGGCTCGCTCAACTGCTGCCAGTGACGATGATTATAAAAACACGCAAACCGGGTCAACAGAGCTGACTTGGAAACAAACATGCTTTGAAAGAGTTCAACCGCTTCACACCATTGATTAGAGGATGCGTCTTTCAACACACACGAGCACTTTTTCCTGATTTTTACATGCAGAGAGCTCGTCTGGAACGTGAGACACGGTGTGACACGGATTTATCTTTGGCTGCAGTACACAGGAATCCAAACATTCCAGCTAATCGCTGTGTGTAAAGTTCAATTGTAATCTCTGCCAACTTGCTTGTATCTTTTAGGAAACAGTAAATGTAGGATTCCCAGCCAAGCAGTCATCACAATCAACATTCCTGAGCGAGGTTACAAAACCAGCCATTTCACAGAGGTGAACTTTGATTATCGTCACCGGAGGACGTTCATATCTCGGGTTGTAAATAAAAAAACGATAAAGACACAGTGCTCCTGTCTGCAGACACAAAAACAAAACAACAAAAGGGAAACTCTTTTGAGGAGATGAAGAAGGGAAAGTTGGAAGTTTTAGGTTTTAGGGACAGCGAGCTGAAAACGCCGTCTTTGGGACGACCTCCGGCCGGTGTCCCGAGGAGCACCGACTCCTGTTCTCTGAGTACTGAGCAGAGACGTTCTGGCAAAACACAAGGAAGTGACCACATGAAAGAGGACTGTGACAGGAAACAGAGCTGACTTCCTGTCTCACAGGAAACATGGCGGTCGGTAAGCGGAGAAGAAGGCATGGAATGTGAAGCCGCAGAGCTGCGAGCCAAGCGGACACCACAAGTCCCCCCTCGATCATCAGCCACAAGTGCTTATGTTTTGCTGCAGGCCCGAGGGCCCGCTGTCGAGGAAGAACTGTCAAACGGACGCAATGTTTGTGTTCTGCTGAGACCGAACTACACAAATGGATGGGTTATGACTCAGAAAGTGGCTTTAGCGAAGAACGTCTGGCTGTAGAAGCTGGGACGGAGGGGTTGTGTGTGGCGTTACTGGACCAGTGAAGAACACACTGTGCTGAGCCCAACTGGGAGTACTAGAGAAATACCACACTGTGGGAACAGCACACCATTACTTTGGCTTTGTCTGGTCCAGTCTACGTCTCTCCCACTTTCATGATCTCTTATCCCGCAACAAGCTTGTGTCCGCTTCATCTCCCACTTTCTCATCCAGGTTGCAGAAACTCGAGGCAACGACGAGACGAGGTTTCTCAAAGCTGCTTAAATGTCACATCATCTAATGAAAAAGTCCCCAGAGGGGCACAGCACCACCTACACGCAGCGCCGCTTCGAATCGGTTAAAGCTACAAGAGAAACCTCAAGCTGCAAAGCCCGTACATGTATTGGGTATAGAGTGCAGCAGTCCTTACTGGCTGAAGGTTTGCAGCAAATACGAGCACAAGCGCATTAGCGAATATCGCTTCACACATTTGCCTGGACTGGATGAAAGTGAAAACTGTGGTTTCCCTGCACCGTTTCCACTGAAGTCATCAGAGAAATGGTGCTGTCCTGAACAGATCATTTTCCTCTTTTGTTACAAGCGTCTCAGCCCTAAAAGTCTGAGAGCTTTTGCGTCGCAACTACCTATTTTCTATGTCATGTCTGCATCAGTGAAAGCTGGCATGAGAACCTTTTTTAACCAATCAGGCGAGTAGCCCTAAAGCTTCAGCTTGGTCATGTCTGGAGGTTTGTGCTGAGTCTGGCTGAGTTAAAGTGATGCGGTTAAGACAGAAAATGCATAACGTGTCATTATCCGAACACCAGCTCAGCGTCTCTGCTCAGTTAACAACAGCATTCGGCTCCAGGTGGCGACCAGCGACAGTCATCCACCTTACGCTTTGATTGAAAACTCATCAAGAGATAAGACTCGCTGTAATGGTTCTTTACCCCTTCGTTGAATCAGATGAACTCAATATTCTGCAGCCCAGAAGCCGGCGCGAGATTAAATGTGCTTCTGGTGCAAAGAAATGTCTGAAAGACAATGAAAAACATCAGACTTGATCAATTCACCTCTTCCTTTGTCCGTGCATCACATAAAACGGTTTGTGCAAAAAGCAATAATTCAATGATCAAGTCACCCTTCGTTCTGCAGTTTTAAACAAACAAAATCATCTTATGTTGAGAAATGACAGTCAAATCAACAAAAATAAAGTTACGATCTCAGCCAAAACGGCAAGATCTTGCTCCATCTGTTAACACTGTATGTTAGAAAGGAGCATCAGCTTTTAGCAAATTATATTTGATCTCAATTTCTGTCAAACGGACTCTGATATGCGGGGTTTAGTGATTGCTAAGATCAGGGGTCTGCAACCTTTAGACTCCACAGAGCTGTTAGTCATCATGGTCAGTTTTATTTATAAAGCACCTTTATGCAACCTGGTGGTTGCCCGAGGTGCTGGACGTTGCCTAAAACGAACTACAGCACATAAAAACTATGAAATTCAAGGTAAAAAGTTATTTTCTTTACTTCAGTCCACCTTAAAAAACTTGTTTAGAGCTGCAACTGTTGCAGGAATTCTTAGAAAAAAGATCAATTTGTGGTTTTGAGAATTTCTATGGAAACACATTAGGGTCACAGAAAATAAATTGTCTTTTTTTCCTTTTTCCAGTCAGAAATCATCATAAATATCAACTACAGGAGATTTGTCTATTTTATTGTCCATTATTATGTTTTTAATATTTAAAAAAATGCACGTTAAAAGAGTATGGATATTTATCATTAGGGTATTTATATCTGTGTAAAATTATGTAAATAACTAAAATAAATAAATAAAACATAATTGGCACTTTAAATCTAGCACAATTATTCCACGAAACAATTGAAAAGCTGCTTAAACTTGCATTTAAATTTTTTTCACATTTAAACATCAGTTATATTTTATCATTTTCAGCCAAATTTACTAAGAGACATTGTGGAAGTTCCAAAAGAGCCACTCTTGGCTCC